ATACCCTGTGATTTGTTTTTTTGTTTTTATTTTTTTATTAATTGCATTTTTATAGTGCTTTCAGGAATTTTACAGAAGCTGCATTCTAGATTAGTATCACATATTATCAACCACAGATCTATCATTACCCCAGGTGAAATAACCTTTAATTGTATACACACTAAAGAGATCCAGAATGAAAGATTTGTTTCCATTAGTACAAAAAAACTAATTCAAACATGGAAACAAATAAAACATTAATTCTATATTTTAATTGTTTGTTACTGGATGTGATCATTTATTGCATTGTGTGTATAATGATTTTGCTGTGTTTGTGTATGTATTGTATTTTGGTATCAGGGTTTCTGTTTTAGCCCCATTTAAAAACAAAACGAGCAGTTAAGAACTGGTGATCAATCAAGGGCATTTACAAAACTTTATTAATCGTAAACATAAAACCAACAGTTTCTCATTCGAATGTTGTATAGGGAATATTGCTGTCAAAATGTCCAGGAATTAAAACTATTCTTAGTCATTGTTGATTACATTGAGGCACTTTCAACATACAGTACATGTTACAGTCCCTTAGATTCCATACAGATTGCAAAAGCTAATTATAATCTAATAACTAGCAGACAGTCCGTCTCAATATTATTACAGGAAGAGTATGTTAAATTAATAGCTCATCATTGGCCTCAAAATCATTCATATTGTGTTAATGATAGTAATTCCTCCATTAAATCTTAATAATCTGACATGTTCTTAAGGGAAGTCTGTCAATTTACAGCTTCAGTTAAAATGAAGACAAGTATAGCACAAGCTGTTCTCCTTGTTTCTGGCTTTGTTTTTCAAGAGCTGCTTCTTAGCAGACTGAAATGTTCTGTGTGATTGTGCTTCTCCCCACACAAAAACAAACAAACATTTGTTACCAATGACAATTCCTTAATTCTGTTCTGAACTTGTGATTCCTTGATAGGGATGCTTATTGGTAGGGCCATGGGGTGGAGGGGGTGATGACAACGACGCAAACATCTGGACTTGCTCAGCGGGAATCAGACCAGAGAAGAGTGACAGGGCAGGTCATCGGACTTCTTGAACATAAATGCATACTAAGGGAAAGCACATTTAACACTGGGAACAGGAGTCACTTTTACACAGAGGGCTATGAGAGTCAGGAACATAAGAAATGCCACAGAAGAAGGCCATCCATCCCGTTAAGCCCAAAGCTGGAACTCTGCTGAAACAAGCTTTTTAGCCATGCTGTTGAAACCACTGGAAAAACCCACAGCTCAGTTTGCTACTAAAATGCCAAACAGGTTGGATGGGCCAAATGGCCTCATCCTGTTTGCAGATTTAAAATAGTTCGTGTTCTTCTTTTATTATGTATTTTTCTATTCAATTCAATTCAATTTTATTTTTATATGGCGCCTTTCACAACAAGGTGGCCCCAAGGCGCTTAACAATGCAAGTAGCCATACATTTTGTGAATACAGAACAGAAGACTAGAAGACAACGCAGGAGAGGAACCAAAAACTCCTTAGTAAGGAGAAAAGAAACCTCTAGGGGTCCAAGGTCAACTGGCTAACATTATATAATTAAAAAAAGGAATCAGGGATGTTTGTGTATTAATGCTCGCATGTAAAGAGATAAGCTTGTTTGTCACAGAAACTGCATCACAGACATACACACTGATGGTGGAATTGAACAGTTCAGAAACTGAATTTTGTGCAAGTGTACTAAAAGCAAACTCCTCGGTTTCTAAACTACTGTATATCCAGCCAAGTTAAGTAATATGATACCAACAAAGTAGTAACAAAATAATAGCAAGTAAAGAAAGCCTTATATGCAGGTCATTATGCAGCAGGTGAGGTAATATTCTGTACATTTGATGGCGATTCAATCAACTATGCGTGAGGTTATGGGGTCGCATTTTATTGCAATACTACCTGTTGCGATAAAGAATTGAAAAATTACAAACCATGCTATGCTGCAGCTTCATGCACTGCATTCTTCCATGCACTGTAGGCCAAGATTAATAGAACATTTGGATCTGTCCTGTGCCTATTCTGGCATCTGATTTTATAGTACTGAAAAACTCAAATCTTTTCTGCAGCCTCTGGGAGTCAGTTGTGAATCTTAAAAGAAGATCTTAGCAAATCTGCCTGTCCAGGGTCTGCATGAATCACCTGCAGACCGTTTCACAGCTACAGTCTGCCTTCCTATAAGATGATAGAGCTGATGAAAGAGTTAAGTGTTCTGAAAATTGTTGTTAGTGAATGGAGTTCCATTTGTTCCTTTACAGGAATGGAAAATAGTCATCACCAGTGAGGAAATGCATGATCACTGAAGCATTACTAAGACCTACACCAATTCAGCCTATTGAGACCCAGCCTTGTCATTTGTGTCTGACCCTCTGCTCTTGAAGATTAGAATAAATGGGTTGATCATTTCAGCCTCAGCACTGGTATGACCTATTCCTTCCAAAGATACAGTATATCTCAGAGTCTATACTTGCATTACTTCCTCTGAGATCTGATAGCCTTTTGAGAGATGGAAATTCCCTAGTATAGCCTTCAGTCAACAATGTGCCCCTGCCTTACTCCTCCTGACCCAGACCCAGTTCTGCTACACAGTTTCTGGACATCAGGGATTTTCAGCAGCTACAACGTCGGGACTGCCATGAGGGTTTTTTCTGGGATTTTTTTCCAGTTTCCAAAGGGGATGGTTCCCTACAGGTCATCTGCCAAGTGGCTCCAGCTGTTCAATCCTGTGACTGGATGGTTATCGTAGGCCTGAAGGTTGCTTATTTTCCTTTACACATTCGAGATCAACACAGGCACAACTTCAGATCTGCACTCAAAAGAAGGGGATGCAAAGTCAGTATCTTTCCTTTCAGTCTGACTTTGATCTCCCGGGACCTCCTTGTGGATTTTGGGCACGGAAGTGTTCAACTAGAGGGATAACTGGCTTCTCCTCTGTCAGTGTCAGCTGTAGTTCCTCTTATATCTGTTACTGAAACACTGAACCTGCTAAAAGAGCTACCTTACCATTCTGGGTTACAGTCCTTGGTTCTCTTGGCAGTGGCAGTGAAAATATGTTTTTTGAGTCTGCGGCATGCTTGCCCTCTGCAACAGTGGTCCCTGCGACAGGCTTCAGATTCCCACAAAGACAGTTAGGTGTGCTTGACGCTACCGAGGGCTGTGCCTCCCGATGTTGAGGTGGTGAGAAGACCCCAGCAATCTGTTTTCAAGTGCCATGTTAGGGACCTGGACTCCCAGGCCATGTTCACAAGATAACTGGTAGTTTTGCTGTGACTCTCCTCTGCTGCCTTGCTTATTTAATTTTTTTTTTATTTGGGCTCAAACGCTTCTCTTATTTCTCAGGGCTGCTGAGGACATATTCTGCCCCACCAGCTGGATATTTTAATGACAGTGGTGAGAACAGAGGTAATACCCTCCACTGAGAGTCAGTGCTCCTACAGGTGATGGGCCTGGTGTGCATGTGTACACCCCACAACCAGCGCTGTGGTGTCCATTTAGATGCTTAATACATTCCCTCCTTAATGACGGAAAGGCCCTCTTCCCAGAATCACGGTGAAACTGTTCGCTCACCATCTTACCCAGTTTCCCTTAGGGGTTTTGAGGCTACGCCCACCTAAGAAATGAGTGAAATCACATATTGCTACTGTTCATAGAATGGAAGAGAATTTCAAAGTTTTCAAGTTGAAAAACAATAATCTTGTGCATGTTTTATTTTTAAGTCCTTTGTTCATAAATCCTTTGAGGATGCAGAAGAAGTTTATTCCAGCAGTGCTGTAGATGTTTTCGAAACAGCCGTTTCTATTAAACTAACCGAATGAAAGTAAGGTTCTAAATTCCATCTGCAACAAAAGGTTAGACCAGGGGTGTCAGCTCCCGGTGGGCCTAGTGTCTTCTGGTTCCTTTTCCAACCCGAGCTCGAGGTTGCATCATGGGTGTAATTGTTTAATTGATTACGTAAGTGTAATAGATGTAACTTGGCTCTGTGGTATTTTAACTGTACCTTTAATGAAGTGAGTGTTTTGAGAAATCAGTTGTTAAAAACTTTACGTTACATCTGGGTCCCAGAATAATCAGGTTAATTTTTTAATTTGCTACTCAGGTTGGAAGGGAAACCAACAGGGACTGCGATCTCCAAGAGTGAGTCTGACACCCTTTTTAGACTATAAAAAATCACAACATGAGCTCTCTACTGATTTACACAGTTCCAGCAACACACTGCTAGCAGACATGGGTTGTTTTTGGCTGGACTGGATACAGTGTTTCCGAAAATACAAGAGAAGGCACAGCCTAAAGATAAAATGGGGTTTAGAAAACTAATTTCCCCCCCCGTAGGACTCGTACTTCTGGCGGAGGATGTGACTGTAAACAGCCCCAAGCTGAGAGGGGTTTGGGGGATAAATAGGAAGACTAGCAGCTGTGGTGATCAAGTCTGAACTCCGAGTGCCATCCGGCATGGTTTGACAGATTACCAGAATGCATCATGTCCGGGCAGGTGGTACTGCACCTGGAGTGCTTCCTGGTGTGTCTGGCTTTTCCGTCAGGTTTTCAGAGGAGGATTCCATGACATGTACCCGTTTGCATTCTGAAATGCGTGATCATAACACTGTATGGGAGAGCAGCCTTGTTGCCATCTCTCTCCCTTGGGTCACTTTCAATCAAAAGGTGTTGGCAATGTTGGCAGGAGAGCAGTGCCTCTGACCTGGTCCAGAGGCTGCTTATGAACCTTACCTCTGGGGACAAGCTGGGACGTGGTTGTATTTTGTGTCCCGTGATGGGAGTCGGTGTTACCAGTCAGTGAGCCCACACACCACTTTAATAACAGGAATCAGCCTGGCTACTTAATCCCTTTTATGGTGTCTTGAAATAACAAGCCTATTGCTATTCTTTACTTTCTGTAGCTTGAACAAACCCTTTATACTTGCTGTGTTTGTGTTTGTATGCCAATGGGCTTTATAATTACCTTGATATGTGTGCCTTCAGGCAGCACGATGAAGCAGGGCTTGGCGCTGCTGCCTTGCCGTGCTGTGGCTGTTCTCCGCCCGTTCGCGTGGGTTTCCTCCGGGTGCTCCGGTTTCCTCCCACAGTCCGAAGACATGCTGGTAAGTTAATTGGCTTCTGTAAAATTGGCCCTGGCCTGAGTGCATGTGTGTGTGTGTTTGTGTGCCCTGTAGTGGACTGGCACCCCATCCAGGGAGTATCCTGTCTTTCAGACTTTCCCTGCAACACTGTATTGGTTAAAGCAATTTAGAAAATAGATGGTTGAATTGATGGATGTACAATACAGTATGTATTGCCTTATCATATGGTCTTCTTGCAGAGGAGAGAGGACTGGGGTGCTGTTTACTTGTTGATTTTGTCTTGTGCTGTTGTTCAGGTCACATGTGCCACAGAATGTCAATATCTGATAAAGACATGTTTGTACAGTCTCTCAGTGATGAGTCTTAAAATATTTTTAAAGAACTACACACTCTTGTAGAACTGCTATCACATCTTATCACCATTGAGCACATTAGTTTTCTCTTAAGTATGTGTCTCAAAACAAGTCATTCACAGCTGGTAAAATTTGGTGGTTTGATGGTTTTGTTAGCAAAATGTCAGAAAATGTGTGCATGACTAAAGGATATGCAATCGTATGTTGCACTGCTGTGCATAATTTAAATAAGTTTTATTTTATGTGTGCATTAGTGGATGTTATTTGTGTTTGCAGTACTTTGGCAGTGTCAGTGTTTGTTTTTGGTTGGAAGGAGACTTTTCACATTTTTGCTCTTGATTTACACACCGAAATGGAATCCAGCAGCTGTTTCTTATCTCAATATTATGTGAATAAAATATGTTGCCAAAAACGCTCCAAGCTACAAGGGTTTCGTGATGAAGAAAGTAAAAGATGGCAGCCTCTGCGATCAACTCTGGAAGTGCCACCCGACGAGGCCTGGCAGATGACCAGCATGCATGGTGATACAAGAGCTGGGCAGCAAAAGAACAACAAGACAATAAATAGCCATCAATCTCGTGTCCAGCCTGGAGGTGGACAGTAACAGGATGTGCTGATCACTGGGCTGTGAGGAGCAGGGAAGATCCTGAAAGAAACAATTGTGGCTGATATGTGGGACAACGTAGTGGTTTATCACAAATCGGAGAACCCAAAGCTAATTACTGTTCCATACTTACATTTATAATCTACTAAATGCCAACTAATATGGCTCAAAGTCTTATATTTTCCAGTGTTTAGCTGATTATGGCTGTTGGCAATATTTTAATAGAATACGATGTGGGAAAAAAAAACATTACTGAAATGACGAGTTCCTATAAAAGGAGAAGACCTGAAACAAAGGAAAGTGGTTTACAAAGAGATTTGCGCTTACTGTAGCTTCAAAGCAATGCTCATATTTCTTCTCAAGCATTCTGTAATCGCCAAAGCTAACAAATTGCAGGGCAAAGAGTGATATATAAAATTTGTGACTTTCTACAATAGTGAAAGGAATAAAGTACAAACTGCTTTTGAGAGATGTCTATTCCCTCAGTCACTAGTAGTTCCAATATTAAGCACTATTTTTAATATTTAACATTTACTTTTTTAAAAGCAGAGACATTTACAGTTGCCCGAGAGCGCATTCAAGCTTTAGATTTAATGGCACAGTAATTATGTGTTTGAGATTGAAGAGAATTACTAACAAATTCCTTAAAATCATTTTTAAAATCTCTAATTACCATTAAAATAGTGTTCAATTGGCTTATTCAATCTAGATGGTGGCTTCAGTAACCCCTGAGCATTTTGTGAAGATCCTTTTTTGAAATAGAAGGCAATCTGCAAACCTCAGTGCTGCCCATAAAGCTCGAGCAAATATTTGCTTAAACTGAGTCAAATCTGATATGTAGCCATTTTCCCCATATGTTTGCTTGGTGTCCTATTGCTCTATTTAAACACACTCCAATACTCCACAGCAAACAGATCAGGCCCCATTTGGAATCCTATGTCACTCTTAATCATTTCCCAGAATACTGTTATGATAGTATTTTATAGCCTCTTAAAACTGTTAGATGTGCACACTGCTGAGTGCTGTGTTTCTGTTTACGGAAGCACCTGCAATGAAAGGTGTTCAGTTAAGCAGCTCTGAAAGGATAGAAACCAAAGCGCAATACAGTATGTGATATTCCTCATTCACCGCTTATTTTCAGGACGTGAGTGGGCCTTGAATCTTTGCTTCAGATCTGTGACTCGGGAAGTGTGATTTATCAATTAGCAGCATCACCAAAGGCTTTACAGATTTTTCTCATGGGGAGACCTGACCTTGTGCTGCAGAACTGCAGGCTGAATCGTTGGGTCTAAAGGTACTACTGGAGAAGCTAGAGCTCATTCACTGTAACAGACAATGAGAGCTATAAAATGGGAGAGTTGCCCTCAAGTCTTAAGCCTTTTAGATCTGCTATCGTTTCTTTTCTATTAGACACTGACATTGCACTATTAATAATAACAGAATGTTCCTATGAGGATTACTGTAGGCTCCAAGATGATAGCCACCAGACACTCCCTCCCCAGAGTCCTTGCGCCTAGATGTGTGCCCAGTCATGTGTAACTTACTGTAACATTTGGAACATACCTGGTCCAGTCTCAACCGCCCGGTTAATTGCTCATTGGAGTTGTACGTGCTGATTAAAACCCCTCTGGTTTAAACGAAAGGGATGCAGTCCTCCCAGAAGTGCAAGCTCTAAAAACAAATGATTTACTGTTTCTGCTTATTGGAAAATGGAGGAGCTTCAAATACCAAGAACACAAAAGATGACATGGCATGGTAGAGAAAGAAGATAGTATTGTGCTCGAAGATCAGGATGAGGAAAAGAATAAGGATAACAAAGTTTTTTAGGGAAACAAGTTATTTTTCAGTTGTCTGTTGCAGTCTCCTCCTCACTTATTGTGTGTCCCTGTTTTCATCTTGTTTACTTTCTGTCGTCATTGAAACTGAAAGTAATTTTTGCAAGAACTGTGTACTTAATCTTACAGGTTAGCAACAGAAAGCTTATATTTAGGTGCTGCCTATTAAAATTGTGCCCACGTTTTAGAATAAGATAGGATTGGAATAAGTCTGAGTATGTAAATAAAATTATAAGAGTGTCACAATGACCAAGAAGCTTTCTTTTGCATGACCCAGAACTTGGGAAAAAATCTGGGTAAAAAATGGAATACTGTATGACAGTGTTATCAATAAATAAACATACTGAAGTTTTATGTAATAAGCTTGTATTGTGTACTGTACAAAGAAATGTATTATTCAGTGGTGGATAATGCATAATAGTGGCACTGTGAGGATGATGATGATGATTAATTGTAGTTCTTTGTGTGCGTACACGTACTGTAGGAATAGCACAGGTACTGTAGATATCTATATTCCCACACACAAAAAAAAAATAATCTGTGGTCAATATGGTGAGTGGGGTGACTTTTGTGATTTTGTGTTTTCTCCTGAAAGCTGCCGTGAGTTGTGAGAAATCATACAGACCTCAACCATATTCATGAGAGGCAATGAAGGGTGCAGTGGCTGCCAATCATGTCTGTGAACATGTCTCACATTGTTCACGTTTATGTTGTTTTCATAACTGGAATTGCACAGGAGAATTAAAAATTGATCTAGGATATACATTGGAATATATGTATGTATAGTGACATGCAATATAACAACATTCATTCAAATAACTGCATTCGGGTTTAGAAGTGCATTTGCAAAACAGTCTCTGATATTGGAACAAAATCATTTTACCCAGGCCAGCAATTGATCAATTGTAATTATCTACCTACAGATTAAACCTCAAGCCAGTTCAGGCCCCTGGAGGATTCTGAAGGGAAAGAGAAAGAAGATCTAGTAACAGGTAACACCATAGGACAAAAAAGAAACAGAGGTTTTAATTGCTTTGTGCACTGTGTAATTGAAGAGATTCTGCTTGGTACGAGAGCACAGCCGGGAGGAGTGTGACTCCACTTGGCCCTGCCTAATTAATCCTGTGATACAAACCTTCTGGCTTCAATTTTCACATTTCTGTCTCTTTCTGGAGGTGATAATAAAACTGGAAATATATGTTGGTTACTGTATGCCTCTAACTGTGCCAGATGCACACAAATAAAACCATATGGAAGGAGCAGGCCTTTTTACAAGGTTATTGTTCAAAAGCAATTGCGGGGATTTCTGAATTCACATTTTGCTGCAACACAGGGAACCAAAACTGACCCAGGAGTGAAATATACTCAGGTCAAATGCAGTTTTGTGTTGTTCCTTACACTCTGAAACACTCATTCGTCAGTTTGAAATACTGTAAAACAGGCATAGTTTTGCGTGTCATATTCCGTTGAAGGACTCTAACAATCAATTATCAATTATCAATCACTTTTTTGTTGCTACAAAGAAGTCATTAGAAGTCGTGAAGAAGTCATGCGTCATAAATATTTGATCACCTGTTAATGACTCATCCGTAAGCATTTGAAGTATTTTGGTCAAAGTGCATTTGATCAGCATCTGACATCTAGTTCATGTCTTGTGTCTGGAGATTCACCCCTGTGAGACACGTTCAGTGAAGACAGTTGTCATGAGAGTTTTTATTTACAGATTTCCACATGCCTGAGCCATTAGATCGACAAAGAAACCATAACACATCATGACCTTCTTTGGCGTGAAAAGAAGGAAACATGTGCAACAGTATGTACAGCTTGTTTTCCTTCTGTTCGCATTGAATCTGAAGATAGCAAACTGCACTGTTGCTCTCACTCTCCAATCCTGTTGTTGAAATTGGATGCAAGCCACCAGTACCAAGCCAACTGACTTAACTGACGCTTCCTGGCATCACATAAGGAACCATCTGTTTAAATGTAAGAAAAAAAAAGATAAAAAAGTCCCGTAAATAACATTTGTATACCACACACATTTTATCCAACGAATAAGGTAAATCTGTTGCTCTCTCAGAACAAGCATTTGAAATTGTAATACATTGCCCCCAAAATAAATGCTTCCTGTCAGAGTAAACATGATTATTTTTGACATATTTCTTGTGGTGTGTAATATGATTCATTTTATTGGCTGCCTTGAGAAATACTGATTTGGGATTAAAAAAAAAAACAAAACAAATAAGGAAAGGCATTTGTCACCAGTTCAGTAGATCATACAGTAACTTGCTTTCCCAACAATCATAAACAGAGCTGATTACAGCAAGAAAGTTTCACTCTCCATCTGCATTTGTGCATAAATCTAATCAGCTGTTTCTCAGACCCTAATTATTACTAATTCCACTCCATCTAATGTTAAAGTAAGCAAATCTTGAACTTTTGCTTATCATAGTTTGTGAAATTCCTTTGTTCTTCTGAAGCCAGTAATTAATGCATGAGTAAACAATTTAAGCAAAATAGAACAAATATTCATTAAGAAAAAGTGCATTGTTAATGGTATATAGTTGCTAGCATTAAATTAATAAAATATATACTGGAACTTTCTCATTCTTTTAGCTATTTTATGTGCAGGAGAATCAAGTAACTGACAAGATGTAATAGAAATGACACAGAGGCTCAGACCTTGGTTTCACAAAGTCTTCGAACCATCTGCCAATCACAAAATGTAAACCTGGTACTTGAAGGAAGATTTCTGTGGGGGACGGAGAGTGTCAGGCTTTTAGTTTGCAAGTGGCACGCGAGGTGATATGTTCATTTAATGCACAATTACTAAAAATTGCAAGCAAATCTTTTAGGAAGAGGGCCTGACTCTTTGTGTAACAATGTAAGACCTTTTATCACACTTTAGAGGTGGTATAAAATGAATTGATAAGGCATTATAATCATGATTTAAATTGCCTAAAAGAGTCATATTTTGATCCCCCAATGCTGCTGTCAAAGATTTATAAAACAGGGGATATATTTTTTGAAGATGAGGATGAACTTCAGGCAAAGACTAGCCAACTTAGAGAGATTGCTAAAACATTGAGTTTCATCCCACAGTCTTTACCATATTAATAACAGCCCTTTATGGAATCTTGCTCAGTCCAAACATATTTTAACATCTCAATAAAACATAAAAACATCTAATAATAATCTGTGGAATGTGGAGGAGGATTAAATTGTGTGAGCTACGCTCTATTGTAGGACTGTGTTCCAGAGAGTGAAAGATGAGCCACTGATCTAACACCAAACTTTGCTGCACACTTGGTAACTTAATTGCCCTCCTGTCAGTTAACGATACTCGACTTATATTACATGCTGACAGTTTTCACAGTTTTGTACCACAACTGTGGCTGCTTTCAGCAAATATGACATTAAATTTTCAAGAAGATCTCTGAAGAAAAATCCCGTAGAACACTAATTTGTAAAACCATCCAGCAGTGTAACAGAGAAATAGTGTTCATAGTTCAGAACATTCAGAAAGAAGGAAAACACACTCATATACAGTACTCATATATTCTTTCAGCGTCTGAAAGAAAGGATATAAATACATTCAGCTTTATTTTTTGGTGTTCAAAAGCAAAACATCTAATCAAACATCATAAATCTGTTTTATCCAATTGAATTTGATGCATTTTGCCGGGATAATTGCTTTATCAAATACAGTCTGTGTCAGATACGCACAGCAGCAACCAGTTAACACAATGCACTTCTAAATCAAAAAGGCACCGAAGACCTACACTTATAGGTGTTTACAGTCTTATAAACAGCTGTGTTACAAACTTTGTACTTGCAATTTGTCCTTCTGTTTTTTACCAGTACGTCACTTGTCCTGGTGAGGCCCATTGGAGCCTATTGCAGAACCAGAGGGAACAAGCTGAGACTGGAGCAGAGGAATGCCCTTACAGTGGGCAGCATGCCAGTGTATTGCAGGGCCTTGGGAAGAGCACGCATAGAAAGCATGCAGTGGATATAAAAAGTCTGAATACCCTTATTGACATTGAGAAATCACAGGTTTTTGTGATGTAAAGCCAGAAATCAGACATTTTTCCATCTTTAATGCAACCAACAAAATTCAAGAGAATTATTAAGAAAAAAAATTGAAATTAAAAAACATAAGCACCCCCCCCACTAGTTCTTTGTGGAAGCACCTTTTGCATTTATTACAGCAGTAGGTATTTGTGAATAAGTCTCTATCAACTTTGCACACCTGGACTTTGCAATTTTATCCCACTCTTCCTTGCAGAATAGTTTAAGCTCCTTCAAATTGCCACGGGATCTCCTGTGCACAGCCCTCTTTAGGTCATTCCACAGGTTTTCTATGGGATTGAGGTCTGGGCTCTGACTGGGCCATTCCAAGACTTTGCTCTTCCTTTTCTGAAGCCATTCCTTGGTTGACTTGGATGTGTGATTTGAGTCATTACCATGTTGGAAAGTGAAATTCCTCTTCATCTTCAGCTTTCTGACAAGAGGCCAGCAGGTTTTGTGCCAAAATATCTTGATATTTGGAGCTAGTCATTATCCCATCTATCTTGACTAGAGCCCCTGTCCCAGCTGAAGAGAAGCAGCCCCAAATCATGATGCTTCCACCACCATGCTTCACAGTAGGTATGGTGTTCTTTGGATGATGAGCCGTGTTGTCTTTGCGCCAAACATATCTTTAAGAATTAAGGCCACAAAGTTCAACCTTTGTCTCATCAGACCATGAGACATTTTCCCAGATGGTTTGGGATGATTGAATGTATTTTTTTGCAAAATTTAGACGGGCTAGAAATTCCTCCAGCTCCTTTAATTTTGCTGTAGGCCTCTTGGTAGACTCCCTGATAAGTTTTCCTCCTTGTCTTGTCATCAACTTTGGAGAGTTGCCCTGATCTTGTCAATGTCCCTGTGGTGCCACATTTTCTCCATTGATGGTAGTCTTTACAGTGCTCCATGGTACATCAATTTCCTTTGATATTCTTTTATACCCCAATCCTGATTGGTACCTTTTAACAATAAGATCCCATAGATTTTTTGTCAGCTCCTTGCTGACCATTGCAGTTTCAAGGAAATCCTACAGAAACAGCTGATTTTTATTTGGGGTTAATCAGAATCACTTTCATTGATGGCAGGTGTATGCTACTTACCTTTGGACATGATTGGTTTGAATGTGATTGGTTAACTCTGAACACAGCTACGGCCCCCATTATAAAACGGTGTGCACACTTATGCAACCAGGGTGTTGTAGGTTTTTTCATTTCAATTATTTTTCCTAATAATTATCTATTTGCTCTTCTCTTGAATTTTGTTGGTTCCAAGGTCACATTAAAGATGGAAAAATGCCTGACATGATTTACCTTGATTTCTGGCTTTGCATCACAGAAACCTGTAATTTCAATAAGGGTGTGTAGACTTTTTATATCCCCTGTACATGAACACAAGGATTCCATGCAAACTCCACACAGAAGACACCTTAGCCAAGAACTGACTCCAGGAGCACCTACACATGCGCTACTAGCTACTGAGAGTTCCTGCAGTTAAAAAATGATTGAACAATGACATGTGTCTTATCATCTCTATATGTGTCATGTATTGTATTGGTGTCATGTATCATGTATTTCTGTTTAACTGTTTAAGTCTTTTAAAAGTGTAGTTACGTTAAAATATCCAGAATATTTAATCCCAGGTATAAAATCCTATGTGACAACATGTGTTTGAAACCTTATAGGTCTTATAAGTGAACGTGGAAGTGAATTTACTGTATATTCATATGAAAAGGAGTCCCAAGTCTGTCCCATGACATTCTAATGAGAACCTATGACTTCTCTTTCTTGGAGTCTTTCTTTAACAACTGCATATTTTGATGGATAGATGTTGCACATTTGCAACAATTTCAAAAGTTATAATATAAAATACACAATCTGTAAATCGATTTATAGAAAAGATAATGTAATTTAAAACAGCAGGATCTATTAAATTGCATATTGACATTTTAAACCGCATTTTTGCCTGTCCAAGAAATTGAGTGTCAATAGCTTTGTTGTGAGAATGGTCCTGTAATTGGCTTTGTTTTCAGTGGTCAGTGGTCAGTGGTGTGAAAATTAGCACTGATGCTTTATAGCTCTAGTGTTCTGGGTTTTACGTGTGGAGTTTGTCTGCTCTGCATAGGTTGGCTTATGTTTTCTCTGGGTCCTCTTATTTCATTTCACTTTCCAAAAACCTGCTGGTAGGTTAATTGGATACTCTCAATTGTTCTTTCCAAGAGGAAGAGATCTGTACACCACCTAATTAATCCACCCTGTCAGGAGCAGCTCCGCTACAATTGACCCTAAATAATTGGGAAACGGATCCCATAAAGAAGAACTGGATTTGCATAAATCTCCAATTTGGGAATGATCTCCGCTAAGCCTTTCATAGGCTGTATCAACTAAAATTTTGATAACAATGTGATTGGTATATTTTGGGAAATTTTAAAACGTTTTTAAACATCTGAAAATTCAAAATCAATGTTTCAATTTTAATATTTATATATATCTTGGATAACATTCCTTAAATGCATATACACATTTCAGATTATCTTCATACATACAAAATAAATGTTGTCAGCATGCGTGATTTACAGAAAGATTACACAAGGCTTCTATTTCACTCCACCATGACTGAGAAGAATGGTTCACTTGTACAGCTTCTTATGTATGCTTATGCACTCTGAAACTAAGAGACCTCTTTGTTTCCTCTGTTTATTATACTATATTTTAAACTGCTCTACTAAATATAAAAACATGTTTCCCAAAGGTCATTTTTGAGGCATGTCAAGGACACAATTCTCCAGATTTTAAAACCATCTTTGACAACTTATCGCTGTCTGAATTGTTTTCCATTTTTAGTAAAGTATGGAAAGGCACTATGTGTTTACCTTCTCATTCATTGTCAATACTAAAGACCAAATGATTTGGTTTGTCTTTTCTGTGCCGTTAAAAACATAATTTCTTCAGAAATTATGAACCAACTGAACTAACTATAATGTAGATTTCCTTCACACTTAGGCTATATAAAGAGGAGACTGAAAAAGCACAAGTGCCTGTTTTTAATGATTTTTTTTATCATGCCAGAAACCTTTTCTGTGTACTTTCCTTAGCGCAAAGGTTTTTCACCTGAAAATTTATGTGATAATTACATGATTATGCAGACTCTATTTCTAGTTGTCTTGTTCAATCTATTTCTGGAATCTAAGGTAGTTATAAATGTGTATTATTCTAAATTTACTTCAGTGACATCTATCTTCTACAGACAATGTTAGGAAGAACTCTACAATTATAAAATTCCTGTCATAAAAAAATCATGAGTGGATTTGTACCATCGTTTAATCTGAAATGGGTGGGAGAAAAAAGGGGCTTGGATACAAGTACTGTAGTTTTACATCATGCCTGGAGATATCATATATCAATAAAGCCATCAAATCATTTGAAAAAAATCATTTAAACAGCTTTATATTTTAATGTGTAGATTATGATGTTTGTTAAACACTTAAGGACCAGAAACAAGCATCTGAATATTTAAAATCAGGAGAATTGAGTGCACATATGCATGCTTCATAGAAATACTTCGACACATCAGTATTTTGAAAGAATTAGACTAGCCTCATTCTAAGGTCTTGTTACTTCTGTTTTCAGGCTCAATGACAGATGGTGCACCACCTGACTCTGAACAGTCTAATGTAACATTCATTGTGCATGACAGGAAATCAAAGATCAAACGACATTGGAGAAGGTGAAGCTGCACATTGCAAGCCAGCAACACTGTGTGGCATAGTAAAACAGCAGAATTTCAATACCAAATAGCTTGTGATTTTAACAGTCTCTGTTTTGGTAGACTAAATGACAGAATGGTGAAAACATCACTATATAAATGCTACTTCTTCCTTACTATGATTAGGGATAACTTCACAAAAACATTTTGATGCCCATCTTTAAATGCTTTTCATCTTCTCCTCTTCTCATGCATCCTGAAGGATATCCTCTGATGGATACAGGCCTTTAGTTTCATTGCCACAACTATGACTTTTGGTATTACAACCAGGAAAAATGATTTGGGTTAATTTTTTAATGTATTTGGAAAATTGTCTTAAAAATACAAGATCTCAACAATCCGAAGGATTGCAATAAAGAGAATGCTAGAATGTGCAGTTAATACTGTATATGTCCCCCCCCCCCAGTGCAACAGAACAGCTAAAACAGCCTCTTATCCAATACAAAATTCTGTGAATTCATATAAATGTGAAAATATGATGCAGTAACTATGCAGTAATAAGGTTTGTATTTGTCATGGTAAAGTCAACAAGTACAGCAGAGGGTGACCAGTATGCGGAATAGTCCGGCTTTGTGCACACACAACCACTCCCTACTGTGGATGGTGGACAATGTCACCCAAAGACGGCCTCCTCTTCTGACGCAGTTTTCCACTGTCTAGATTTCAGAGAGGGGGTGATGTCGCTTCTGTATCTTGCTTAGTATACCGAGAGCAGTAACTTCATCAGAATGGATGTGGACACTGGGCCAGACAGCCAGGTGTTGGTGACCCTTTACAGACTGAGTGCTGGTAAAGAGGTCAATCCATCTCACACAATGAAGTCACGTAGCAGTGTTCTCCTCAGTGATCAAGGTGCAGCCATCAAAGTGATTCATGATGCCTCTGTGTGGACAGCTCCATTTCCATACCCAAGACTAGTTCTGGCGGAGACACTTAAGATAGTGGTGAGCTTTTACATTTTGAGGAGGAAATTGGTGGCAATGGCTACACTGGTCTTTATGTCTTTAACCTTGAATGCAAACGTGAAGGACCTTGCAGTCTTCTGTTATTCACTCCAATGTGTAGCCATAGCTGGTGCATATTTTGGTTCACATCAAGGGTAAGAGAAGAGAAGTGAACCTGAGGGTCTATGGGGCTTGTCAGTATCACAAAACCTGAGCATCGATTCCAGGCTGTTCATCCCAAGCCTCTTCCTGACCAACAATTCACCACAACGAGTGAGCCTGCTAGGTCACACTTCGCGTTTGATTTCTAAATTAAAAATAAAAAATGGATCTTGCTTGAACCAGTTGAGTTTAGAGCTGTGTGTATTTCACCTGTAGAGACATAGGTAGTTATATTTACTGCATTTTTAGACCGAATACTGAGTGTCTGTTATACTTATACTTTATAACGCACGGTGCAGGCTGTTGCAAACGGTCAGGCTGCCCCATGTTAATCTGGTGCATTGCTGTTGCAAATTCTATTGACATCCTCTTAAACACAGGTGTTCTGGACTCCGAATTCACTCAGTAAACACACTGGAAAAGTGAAAAATGTTCATCCTGTGCCACTCTAACCTTGTTGACCCCTCCCCTCTCTGTCTTTCTCATTTACAGGCCCTGTTTTCAATTGCATACGCTTGCATAAGAAGAGCTCTTACTCTTTGCAGCTTCCAGACATCTCTAACAGGCAGTGCTTGCTAGGACCCTGCTGCAGTCCGAGCAATCTGTCTCAATATGGTCTAGTGGACCTGTGCTTGTTCAGGCATGGACTAATGCAGCACACAATAACCATGCTTGAGCAGATAATTAATTGAAAGTAAAAATAACCCTGATACAGCTATGATTAAGGGATAAAGCAAAATATCTCAATTTACCTACGTCTTACCAAACTAATCTGAAAATGCCTAAGTATCTAAGTAATGAAGTAACCATTTGTCCACATAGAAGCTCAATCCCTTAAGTACACTGATACCTCCGAAGCAGAAGTTCAAGTCACTAAATGCAGCTAAATGTCTACAATTTAAATCAGAACAAATATAACTGAATTTTGTGTGTTACACGATGAGGCAAAATGTCTCTGAGATATAAGTAATTTTCAGATCATAGAAGAGAAACAACTGTTTTTCTTTAAATAATAATTCACTCAGGTGTTTACCAAAGAAGCAACTGACTACACACCTCATGATGAGGGCTATGGAACATTCCATAATGTTAAACAGTATCAGCATTAATGTGATTAATGTGTTACTGGTTCTAGAATCATTGAAAATAAAAATAAAAATTGTTTAATGTAAAATTAAAATATCAAAATACAGTGTAGGAACTATGCTAAAACTATGCTGTCAGTTGCAATAAATTTAATTATGCATTACCTTTACCAATATTCATTAAGGTACATTTTAAGATGTAGTCTAAATAACTTCCTATTTCAAAGGAGAATCTGTACAGACTCACTATGTACCCTTAGGTTTAAAAATTCTGAGTACAATATCTGACAATCGCCAGTTATACCCACTCAGAAAACAAAATGTTGGTGTCTGGAACACTTATATCCCAAAGCTACAAAGCCTTTCAATATCTAATTTCACAGCTTTCTTAACATGTATCTCATACAATTTATTACTGTCATACTCACAAACATTGTGTTGAGTACTGCTTCATCTGTTCAAACTAGGCTAAATATTGATTGATAAAAGTGTAATGCATTTTAACCATAGGCAATGTCTGCATACAACAAAAGTTTTCTTTTTAAATCACCCAATTAAAAATATCTTGGCCATTTTTTTTTATCACATTCAGGTATTGTTTGTGAAAGTGTAAAAAGATGGCCAAATTAAAATGGTTGCAGAACAAAGAGGTTAAATAGTGGTCTTTAACCACAGAAACTGTTTCTGAAGACAGTGGGATTCCAATTTATTTGCACTTGGTGAATATAAACTGGATTTTACCACTTAGATTATAGGATATCTAATGGTGAGACATGCTAGTATCCTACTATATGATTAAATACAACCTGCTTTGCTAAACAATGCCTTACTCTCGTTCTTTATGACTTTGTTTATCGATTAATGCAATGGCTCCCTGTGTGCTGAGGGTTACAGTAAGTCTCCATTTGGTATGATTTCTTGTTTTTCTCCTATCCAAAATATAATGCCAGAGATGAAGTCATTGTCAAATGTTCTCCATCAGCATTATTACAAAAAATATGCAGCCTATGTCCAGGCCACCAGCCATGAGGGATAGGTTGGCAGACAACTCAGGTTTATCCAGCAAATTTGAAGTCATGGGATCACTAACATGACAAATTCCTAAGGATCCATTGGTGGTTTTAAAAAAAATCCCATTTCAGCAGTGAAGGGCTTTGAGAGCATGGACAGCAGTTATTTGCATAGTTAGTTGGGATGTTCCTTGGCACCTGAGCAGTATCGCACTCTATGGTCACAACAACAAGTGGAAATTACCCTTCTGTTCCTTGAATGAAGAATTCAAGGTTTCCCATGTAATGAAGGCTCTACAGCGTAGAGGGTTAAGTGACCGAAACATTTCTCATGCTGAAACGGGGGTGAAGACGAGAAGGAAGTGAAGGACTTGTGGAAGCAGTGAGTCTCGGCTGTGCTCCCAGTCTCCAGTGTGCTGGCGGGAAGGGTGAACTTCAGAAGGTCTGGCCTTGGAAACTTCTCAATCCCATACTGTCATGCTGCCCAAAGTTGTTAATAATAATAATAATAATAATAATAATAATAATAATAATAAGCTTACACGTATATAGCACTTTTTTTGACACTCCACTCAAAGCGCTTTACAGGTCACGGGGACTCCCCTCCACCACCACCAGTGTGCAGCTCCACCTGGATGATGATAGTGTGCTAGTATGTTCACCACACACCAGGTATCAGTGGGGAGGAGAGTAATGGCCAATTCATAGATGGGGATTATTAGGAGGCCATGACTGGTAAGGACCAATGGGAAATTTGGCCAGGACGCTGGGGTTACACCTCTACAAATTACAGTGAGATGTGAGCTGGTCCAAGAGGATGTGACAGGATCAGGGGAAGAGGAGAGAGTCAGTGGAAGACCCTGCTTGAGTCTCCAGGGAGTAAAGTAAAGATTGGACCAGAAAAGCTTGTGGACTTACCTACAGGACTCTGAACCTCACCACAAGCTCCTGCTCCAGGATGCCCTACCATGTCAGACCCATTCAATCCGTTTTGTTGGGATACAGCGGAGTCAACACCCTGTGAGTTGTCCCCAGGGCAAAAGGCCATTGCAGACACACTCCGAAGGGAGGGGCAACCCTTCTGCTTCCCACCAACCAAACCATCATTTTTCAGGAGCTGGAGAACAGGCCAGGCAAGCATTTGAGATAAACCACAAGCCTCCTTGTCGCGGCAAACGAGCAGCAAATGGCAGCAGTCCCTCCAGCACATCCACACCGCTACGCTGGAACAAGACATTACACGGGTCTCGGAGACCTGACCGGCCCTGGATGGCAGAGGAAAAGAAGAGCAGTAAGTAATAGAGGCTGGGCAGCGATTGCTGTAGTCAGGGACGGAAGATCAGGTGTGTGCCCCTCAAATCAGGCAGTAGAGAACTCCCAGGCCTCTGAGGCTTACTGCATAGTGAGCATCATAGGGGCAAACATGGGAAGAGCTGGCAATAGGGCCATTGAGGCTAGAGAGAGGCTCTAGATGACTCTGGATCAGAAGGAGTGACCTTTAGCTCACAAGGTGAGGTCTGATCACTGATGGTGTGTCGGAGAACTTCTAGAGATGTATGATATCCAGCTCTTCCTTTCAAAGAAAAGAAGGGTGGAAAGTATTTAAAAGCACTGAGTACTTTATACAATACAAACAGCTACAACGTAAAACTGTACTGATTTTCTAATGGTTTCTGCAATAGTACGAAAAATATTTTCTCCGCTCATAAATTTACCGTAAATTGTTTTCCAATATTGTCACATAAACAGAAGGGATAGAATAAAATTTCAAACATTTACATTAACGACACGGACGATATCATAGGCTTACTTGTTCCAAAAAGATCAAACACATTTGTCATATCGAACGTTTGACTTTCCTTTCACTTTACAAATATTTTAATGTCACAGCAAATTAGGCTGTAGGTGAGCCATACAAACCATTTAACCTGAGCAAACACTTTTCGCCATAAATAAAAAAGCAAAACTAAATTTAAGAGCCTTTACAAACAGCAATGTTGCTGACAAGGTACACATTGGCCGTTTCTATCCTTGGTTAGTTTCATAATGGATTCAATGTGACTTGACAGGGAAAGGCCATCTGCTTGCTTTAGAAGAGAAAAGATTACAGACAGTTCAATTTCAGTTGGCAAGATGAAATGACAAAAAAATAAATGAATAAAATAATAAATAATAAATGTAAAAATACAATGAAGTAACTGTAATACATATTTTTGTCTTATCTTGTTTAAGAATAAAAAGTTTTAATCATTTTAATATGATGAACAGGAAAGACAAACTGCTGTGCAGTTAATAAAAACAAACAGTTATTAAACAGTTACATTTTGATTATTAAAAATAATTATAATTTGCTATCAAAAGGCACTGCCACGTGTGGCTAAAGAATAAAAATATATTGAGCTACCATGTTCTTTCATTAAGGCAAACAGTTTTTATCCATGTACCAACCACTTCTTCCCTGATTGATGGATTGATGGTGTTTTTTTACAATCAAGTAATTCTGAAGCTAATTAGGCTTCCATCTGAAAGTAAAAAAAAAACCCCAACTCAACCATAGTTTTCTTGTTGACCTATATTTATTTCACTATCTGTGATGTTACTCAACCCAATTTCCATATTTCAGAACATTTTACTGAAACCACCCTTCTGACACCACATATTAAAAACACTCTTAGATTTGCATTGGTTCAAAAGGCAGGAGTTTGAATAAACCACAGTAATTTGTGTCCTGTGTGTGCGGCCATGTTATCAATGTACACTGCTAAAGTTTCGAAGACATTGTGTACAAATATGTTGTAGAGCTGCTTGGAAGAAGAATCCCTAGCAAGAAATTATTTTTAAATAAAAAATTCAGCTCTTAAATTAAAAACGCAAAAACATCCCTATTATTGACCTTTTCACTACATTACTAATGGGAAACTATAAAACATCTGGTTTTTTAATGATGGACATTGTCTTACAGTACTTAAAGTATTATGTCCTGAAGTACTAATGCATAATGTTTTGTTTTTAAAGCCACTCAGTGTGACATGGGCCTATAATAGGAGCTGCGTGCAGGTATTGCTTATCTGGAACTCTCTCTTCATTTCCTTCGGGCTATAGACTTAAATTTGTACATAGGATATTGTCTGCTTTTAAGAAGTACCTCCTGCTCTCAGTTTTAGGACTTTAACACTGATTGAAATGGAAAGTTGAGTATCATTCTGGGCTTATTATCTATACTGTAATTAGCTAAGGCTGTTAAAGCATGTGAGGAGAAAATTGTCTGGAAGTTTTCAAAATGCTTGCAGGTCGGAAGGAAGGTTAGACTCACAGTTCTGCTAGCCTTTGTATAACTCTTGCATACAGGTCTTCCCTTCGCATATCTCTCTCACCGCCCACCTATATCTGCACCCTTGCAGCAGCTCTCTGGCTCATTCCTTGTTATAGTTCGGGGGTGAGCAGCTACCTTATGGACAGGCTGCCATTCCCTTTGATAGTCTCAACAAATACTTTATACATATTTCGTCACGTTCATTGAGATCAAACCAAACTACTGAGAGTAATGAGTGAATGTGTTGTGATAAGTACATCATTTTTTAAAATGTTGCTTTTGTAATCAAGGGAACAATAAATCTATTATTGATCATTGATGTAAAACTATATACTGTAGTTTGCCATACATTTTCTCCAACATATCTTTAAACTTGTGCTTTGGATCATTGGCCTGCTGAGAGGTACATTTTCATAATTTCACCGTAGTTTAAGATCTTCAGCAAACCAAAGCAGGATTTCTCCTTGAAAAAATTCCCAGTCCTTGTTGAGAAGCAGAAACATACTGTAGTATAATGCTGTCACCCAAATGCTTGAAAGTAGGGATGGAGTTGACTGGGAGTTTGGGGTTTGCATTTATATCAAAATGTTTCTATTTCATCTAATCTGACAAAACCTTTGCCACATTTGCAGAATCACTTAAAGGTGTTATTGCAGACCCAATCTGGAATTTGAGATGTTTTTGCAATAGGATATTGTTGTCTTCTAGACATTTTCTCCTATTGATCTCCATAACTCTTTTTTACTCAGATATTGCCTAGATTAATCTCTGTGAGCCCAATGCTTACATTGAAAGCATTGGGCTCACAGAGATTAATCTAGGCAATATCTGGGTAGTATGATACAGTATATCTTGCACCTCTTTACAATGGACGTCATGAGCAATATCCAGTTGATTTGAAAGCTGCTTGGTCTACGTGGTTGAAATCAATGTTTGAAATTCACTTTCGTGACTGAGGGACCTTACAGTGATAGGTGTATTTTGTTAAATTATGTGAAACACAATATGTTGTTGCACACAGGCCTGAAGGTTTTTGAGAGACTTCTCAAAAGTAGTTTTGTCCAAGTGAAATGATTTGGATAATTTAGATAGATTTAGAAATGTATTCACCTTACGCAGTTATATCATTATACAGGTATCCATGTATACGTCATTCACCTCTACCTCCCCATGGAGCACAAGAAATTATGTTTATGTTTTTTTGTGGGAACTTCTAAATAGAAACCCCCATATTCACCAAGTCAGTTTTACTCAGTGCAAAATCTCTAAATATCTAATCAGCTCTTTTGTTTTGTGCTATGTTTTTCCAGAATTAAACATGGCTATGATTGAATTTGCCTGAGGGTTAAATGTTCAATCACATACGGTTTCTCTGTCACGGCATTTCCTAGTGTTTAAAACTTTATAGACTCCAATTTTTTTTCTGGTGCTCGACCATAATTCATAATTTACCATCTGTTCTGTGTACACTTGGCTGCAGTGCCTATGACTGTTGTTCAGGCAATTCGAAATGTCTTTGTTCTTGCTCGAAAACCTCTATACTGAAAGCACGCTTTGCAACAACAGCAAAAAGAAAATGAATTGTTATTTTCTGTAATTAATATTTTATAACATTTTACATCCGAACTCCTCAAACCATTTCTCAGGCACCAAGAGACATAGAGTACACGTGAGATCCATTGGTGATGCATCCACTACGGCAGGTTCCTAACTCTGTCTCCAGTGAACTTCATGGTGGGCTGCAGGCCGTTCGCTCTAAAGTCTTCTGAAATAATTCCTTTCGGCTACTTGCTGTAGCAGAAATGAAGAGAGCAAAAAAAAAAATAAAATTCTGCTACAAATTATTTTTAGTTGAAATGTATATCAAGTAAACTTTCTTCTCTCTTTATACAGTATATGGTATAAATGATTGATTTTAAATGACTTGGTAGAACAGACCTTGCAGCTTCTGTAGCTTTGTGGAACTATGTGATTTTATTATTGATCTGGCTGACACTCCTATCCAAAAGCATCTTGCAGTGGTTTATATGGCTGAACCAATCCGAGTCAAGGACCTGGCTCATAGGTACAGTAGCAGGGCCCTACCTGGGATTTGAACTCTCAACCTCAGTTAGAAATCCAGAAACCTAACCACACACAGGCTGTCTCCCAAGTTTTCCTTATTGACTGTGATGGTGAATAATGTCTTTCTAGCAATTCCCTAATCAATCCATTTCTGTTTCATCTCTTCACTCTTATGCACACTACTCAGTTTTTGTATTTTTTTTCCTCTCAAGGACATGTGGCTTTAAAGCACCAATTGAAAAACAAAACATGCAATACTGGATTATTTAACTATGTAAAAAAGGCATATAAGATGCAAATATGTCTTTGCAGAATCTTTTTTAAATGAAATGGATAACATAAATGTAGCGGTGCAGGAATGGATGTCACAGAAACAGCTACTGAAAGTTAAGACGCACAATACAGAATTACAGTGAACATGGAATGGCTATTTGGGTCACTGTGTGGAAGGTGACTTGGGCAAACAGTGGACTGCTTAGGAGTCCCTGAGGGTCATGTCATCAAGGGCTGAAAGACCAGTATTGTCAGAGATGACCAATAAGTTTCCATCAGCTGTTCTAATATAGGGCTCAAGCAGACTCATTTTTAAACAATTCAGCATACAAACACACACAAACAACAACAAAGAAAGAAATAGCCTATTTCAACAAAGGCAGTATTTTATCCACCAAAAGCTGTGTGCTGTGTGGCACTAGTTGAATGGTTATCTGCATGCATCTTATACAGAAAACAAAAATGATTCCCATACGGGTACCAATTCTGAAAAGCTGGAAACAGAAGCAATGTTAAAGTTAAAGGTATAAAATTTAAAAAAGCATCTATATTTTGAAATAAGACATTTTTGTACTCTTTTTATAGGACTCAAAGGGTCCTACCTTACTAAAAAAATCAAAAACCAAAGGGCAAGTCAAATGCCACATGTGCCATCCATAATACATCTTAAAAGCACAAGACAGGCATGGACACAGGCCTTAAAAACGAACCCATATGTTCTTTGGCTTCTGCTGAATATGCAAAATACATGGTAATATATTCATGCAACATGCAAAGATAGCTCTAACGGAGGCAATATGAACACAGTTTTCACTAAACCATACTAACCATAAACTGCGCCTTAACTCGTGTACCACCTAGCACCTACCTGTGTTTCTCATTCATCATGAAAACACTCCTTGTTAAAGAGAAACATATCACTATCAAAGGAGACATAAATAAAAAAGGTCATAGACAGGACATCTAAACCCAGAATGTTTGTGGCAAGATGCCTTACTAGAGAAAATGAATCCTGGCTAATCACAGGACTGTGTTAAAACGTGTTATGTCCACTTTTAAGATTCTTTAGTTAATGAGGCTGAAATAACAATAAATCACAGACCAACAGAAATGTGACAAACACCAGATATGCAGAATTCAGCTGCCATATTTATTTATCTGCCTGTAAAAAATGACCAAAGCAGCATTCAAACAAGTTATATTAACCTCCACATACATATTTTCTTTAAAAGGGGGTAAATAAAACATTAAAAAGACGACAAAACTCATCCTGGAATTGTTGATAACATTTACACTCTTTTTAAAAAATAACATTTTGCCAGTAAGGCGATGAACAGAGATAAGGGACATTACAATTGTTAGTTATTCACTTTGTAAAATTTCAATCTTGTAAGTAGGAAGAAATGTTTGTACAGAAAATTGTACCTGTGGCAGAAAATATTGTCAAGGCTATCGTTAACAACAGATGCTTCAGCACACAGTTACTGTGTGCTGCATTGTGGCAATCATCATTTTTCAATGATGACCTTAAAGGAATGTTGACACCACAGCAAAAAAAAAAAAATCCAACATTTCCGTAAAAATATTGAGCTGTATTTTAATTTTTTTCTGAAGAGTTTAAAGACATATTGGAAATGACATGTACCGTAAATGTATTCACAACATTTCTTATGATTATCAACTCAAACAGTACAGTATTTTGCTAATGAATACAAGGAAAGTTTTATTCTACAATTTGTTGTTAAACCCTTCACTGTCTTATGATACAGGTTAGCATTTATTCCCCCAGGAAAGAAAAAGGTCAGAAATATCAGCACTACAGTGCTTGCAATGTTGTAGAATACACTTTAAATAGCCCCATAGGAGAAACAAAAATTTTATCATTAAGAAAAGCAATTCTAGGAGTACCATTTTAATCCAAAAGGGATTTCATAATGCAATGAGCTAACATGCTCAAAGGCTACTATAGAAGAAACAATTGCTGCCCAACCTCATGCACTATTATTCTTTCCTTGGTCAATCCGAGGTCATACATTAAAAAAGAAGACTTTATATTTATATTTTAGGTAAGTAATTAATTTTACATGACAGTGCCAGCACTACAAGGTCAAATATATATTTATATATTTGTCACTGATACTTTGTACATAGTATTTCCTTCCCTAATTCCAACAAAGGTTACAAAGGACTTAGACTGATACAGTTTCCCTTAGCTCTCTGTAGTTTGCTATATTCCTGGCCTGTGTAATGTTACAGCTCCTTACACTATAATTACAGCATAAGCACCTTTTTAAGCAATACACAGTTCAAGTCACCTATTTCTTTCTGACATTTTACCGAAAGCATTGCTTTAAGTTGCTGTTTTAAGCCTTGCTTGATGGAGACTACAGCAGGAAACAGGGACATAACAGAAGCACATTGTAGTACTATATTCAAATACCTGAAAAAAGTGAAACATTAAACATCTAACTGCATGTGACCTGGCAGTCTGAGTAAAACAGCCACCTCAGGTATCTCTTCAATGAATGTCTTCAAAAAATAGTGCTTTCTGTATTTCAATAGTACTCAATGAAAGTACAGGTAAAGTGATGATTTAGTCTAAATGTAACTTTGTATGCCAATATCAAACAGTGTTTAGGCCATTCTTTCCTCCTATGCTTTATATTCGGTACATGGGAATTAGAAATCATATTTAATTCCTGATAAAATTGGGAATTTTACTTACAAGGTTTTGACATCTTGTATAGTGATAAAAAGTTTCTATTGGTAAATGTGCCCCACCACTGCCAAAAAAACACTTAATATTTCAACTACATCTTGAATTATTAGAGCGTACTTAGTATTCCCAGTCTAGAATATACTTCACCTCACCATCATAGTATTATTTATAAAGCATTTTATATCAATAAGTTGCATTAAGTCAGCTGAAGAAAAAACAGTTTTGAAGCAAAAATGGAAACTGTTAGACCTATGAAAGAAGTCGTTCTGTTAGTGTCACACATGGGACATGACCACAGCATGTGTCTCGTCATTTTGCCATGGATGAACTCGATGAACGAACCGACACTCTTGAGAGGCTCTGCAGATCCGTTCTTTTCTTGAAAAACGGAACGTCTCTCTTGACTGTCTGTGGAATGAATTATGGTTTACCTTGATGAACCCCCCTCCCCGTGAACACAGGCGATGAACTGATACCCTGCCCTGCCCCTGTAGTTTACAACGTCAGTCTTTATCGATAAAGTGCACTATCCATGGCGGATCATGAGTGGGATGTCACAAGGGAAAGAGCCCTCCCCCTCTGCAGGGGGACAGAGAGATGGCCCGAAAATCCTAACTACATCTTCATCCACAAAGCACAACAACATCTCCCGCTCGGCTGTCAGTAGACGTAGCCTTCGCTGTAGGGATGAGAGTTACAGTAGCTGCCATCTTGCACGTAAGCCATGTTCTCGTCAAAGTGTGACAGAGGGACGGTGTCTTCCTCGTTGATCTGGCGCTCCATGTCTGTCTTCAGCACGGGCCTCTGATTGTCGGGGAATGCCATGGAGAAAAGTGCCTCGGGGTCACAGACAAACTTGTACACGTATCTCTCCCCTGCCACCTGCGAAAGACACCGCGAGAGCATTTTATGACTTCTGCAGCCATTTCCGTGAAACGTATTAGGGAATTGAAGATATTCACAAAATTCAAAGGCTGTTCTTGTCAGAGGCGCCGCGGCGAAGCTGAAGAAAGGCTCCTCACCTTTTGCATAATGCCTTTTTCGTAGTAGTAACGTAACGAACGGCTGAGTTTATCGTAGTTCATGGCTGGGCGATTTTTTTGAATCCCCCAGCGACGCGCAACCTGACAACAGAAAAAAAAAACAAGGATGGGTTTCTTTAAGGTTTAAAGGAGCCCAAACATTTGCTACACAGTACATTGGTTTCTTTTTTTGAAAATGATTTGGAATGGAAGCACTGTTGAAATTTACAAACCACTTTTTGAGGAAAGGTTTTCTTTCTACTTAAATAGCACAAGTAGTTACATTTATATTATTGAACCACTGGATTTCTGTTTATTCATCCAGAATAAGGGCAAATGCTGAGCAAATAAATAACTACATACAAAATGGTGCACTGTCCAGAGAACCCCTGTGTTAATCGCCAGCAGACCTAATGCTTACCGAAGTCACTGTTAAGAAATCCTAAAGATTATGGAGGATGACACCAAATGTATTTAAAAAACATGGGACAGATAATTGTAACATCTAAACAGTGCCAACATTATTGTACAAACACATGGCCAGAAGCAATCTGATACTTTGGTTAAAGAGTTTTCAGATAGAGATGTGACTGACAAAGGAGTCATTAGGTCTTTATTTGAATAGCAGCAACCTTACAACCACCACAAGCAACACATAACCTAACACTTGTGTATAAATAGCCTATATTTATACAAGCTATAAATACTCAAGGCTGATGAATTTAAGAGTTGAAAGGCAGGCTATATTTACTTAAATCCTTGCACACAAGATTCTCTTTGTGAAGCTGCAAATTCTGATAGTCTTTCCTTGTTTGCATCTACATGTAATTACTAATTAAAATAATAGTAGTATTTTTGTAATTCTAAATTGTATCCCCTTAAATAGAATGAAATCTTGCATTTATTATGTTAATCTCCATTTTTACAGGAGGTTTTAAGAAGACAATTAGGGGGTTCTAATGATATAGGAATGGATAAAGGTTACTGCCATTATTTCTCAACATTTTCTAAAAACATTTTCGGTGCAACACTCAACCATACATTCAAACAAAAACTGGAAGCACCTGCTTGAAGTTGTGTTTATGAAACAAAATAAATAAAAGCATTTACATTTTTAAATAGAATTAACTTCAAATTAACTTAGGTATTTTCAATCCTAAAACTACTGGCATACACGACAAGTATTTCAGTTTTAAAGTTGGAACTAAATTCTGATAATGATGCCGAATTTTATAATGAAGCTGAATGCTTTACACATAACACAAAGTTAGGTTAAAGCATGAGAGTAGCTTAAACAGCATTAGTTCTTGACTTTATGAGAAGTTGTTTTGCTATGAAACATTCAGATTGCTAAAGTGAATGTAACAATGTTCAGATCAAAAGCTGAATCGCCTGAATTTTAGTCTGCACATGAATCAACTCTTCCTTCCCTCACTCTGCATCTAACGGACAGGTCTGAAAGATGATTTGTGAGTTTTCTCTATAACAGGCAGATTCTGATTACTGGGAAATCTCCCGTAGTTCAATCTCAACACCTTCCACAGTGAGGCAAAGCATTTATAGGTGATGGTTCACCAGCTAAAGCACACTAAGTCACCCAGTGCTACAAATCTCTAGGTATACTTGCCCCAGACATATCCCATCGCTCAATGATTGATTGGTGGATACCAGTATATGCATAATTCTGATCACATACGCAGAAGGCCTTTAGTAGCTCTGGCTTCAGAAATAGGGGCAAAATAGAAAAAAGATGGACCCGGACCGCCTCACATTACAAAGATTCAATCCATAAGTTGCGGCAGATTTCAGTTGTGTTTCTAGGCGGGTTAAAACCCGAAATGTACAAGATTTGCTCCGGATGATTCAGTCCAAACCCCGCAGCTGAAACCAGGAGTCCGCTGGACAGCCGGCTAGCCTCTTCTCCTGTCCTCACCTCCTCCGGCTCTATGAGTTTGAACTCCATGCCCCGCCCTGTCCAGGCTATGAAGTGGGAGTTTGACGGGTCATCGAGCAGCGCGACGAGGAACTGCCACAGCTGCAAGGAGCCGCGGCGCTGGTACGTAGGACCTTCCCGGTACAAGCCGGGCTCCTGTTTGATGTCCCCTTGAGAAGAGAAAGGCAGTGGATGAGGACTGCCGGTCAGACACGTCCATTCGCACAGGCACAGCACAGCCCCTTAGAGCTCACTTAACTCTGCTCTGTAGATCTTGGGGATAAAAAAAAAACCAACCAAAACACACCTTCAAACTTCTCCGGGACCACACAGGTGTCATCGTAGAAATGCCTAGGTACTTTATCATATATGCAACCTGGAAAAAGGAAGAAAGAGTGAAGAGCTGCCAGAGATTCAAGCCCAACGACGGATAATAATGTCTGTGGATGTGAGTGATTTGTGACTTGAAAAAATGAGTTGGTTGGTTCCACAGACAAACGATTTATCATTTCAGTCATGGTCAGAATAATATCTAGCTTTTCTGTCTACCATTTGTTAAATAGAATTAAAAAGTGGGGGTATTCAGATGATGAGTACGACAAGCTAATAAGGTACTTTGAAATGTATTTGACATTTACGTGTTTTCTCAGGAACCCAGTGCACTAATCTTTATTAGAAAAATGTCCTCCACAAACTTACCTTCAGTTCTATTGGAATGTGCCAGGAAACTTTCCTGCCTCATGTAGATTGAATGGCAGCTAGGCACTTCTGTAAAGTAAGCAAAAAAGCAAAAATAAAAAAAATAAAGAGGGAGTAAGGACTGCAGCTTTAAGCTGCAACTGGACTTTAAAATGAAAAAAAGCTAACAGAAATGACAGAGTTCTGAAACAGCCACATAGAGCAATACATATCTGAACACAGTCCTGTTATGCTATCATTGCCTGGCATGGTTCCTGCTAGATTCAAGATTAGATAACACAGAAAGACATTAAGGTGAAATCCAATATTGTTTAAAATATTGCACTTATTAAATTAAACAAATCACTGCTATTTAAAAAGGTGCACATGGCCTTTACACCATCTATTGCATCATGGAAGTTTTCTTACTGCCATGATTTGTTTGAAAAGAAATGAAATTACAAATTGGTTAATTTTCAGTTCCATTTAAACACTGGAGTCAAATGAATGCTACTAAGCAAATGTAGTTTAAGGGACTTATCTACGGATTTTACTCGTAAGCTTATGTTTTTAGATGATTGACTCTTCCTTGTTTAATTACGTAGACCTAGTAAATAAACCACACACTTTTCAGATAACTTTTAAACCAACCATCACACAAATGTTTCCTTTTTTACTGGGGGGGGGGAGGGGGGTTATTAATGTGTATTAATTGGAATTCTAAAAAAATACAATACACCTCTGTCATGACTTAAGTTTGAAGATAGCCTCAACGGCATGTTTTATTTAAATGCAATTTAAAACCATCAAATTTTTTAACAGCAATTTTCTATTGAAGACTACGTCATGTCAAATGTGGTTTATTCTTATAAGATTGACCTTTATAGGGATGATGCCACACATACAGAATCCTACATCTATATGAAGCAGATGTCAGAGGTGCAAAGTCCTGGCATTTCTAAATCTCTTTATTGTTTACTTTGGCAAGAAACGCCAAACAGCTGAATAATTCTTGATAAAATGTGTCCCTTCCTGGAACAAAAAGTGACATTTTCACAAAATGTTATTATATAGCGAGTAAAGAAAACTGTTATTATCATCAACAACAATAATAACTGCACCTCTCCTGTGGGCTACAGATTATTTTAAATGAAGTAAGAGTTATTTCACTAACACATATTAAACTAAAAATCCAGATTTAAAAAAAATCACCTGGTTTCCAGATGCAGATTGCAAATACCTGTATGTAACTCGCGCATCTACCACAGAGTAATTGGTTATCAAGATTTACAGTACAATCGGTAGGCGGTAAACTTCATTTCAAAATGCAATATTGAACTAGCCATAAGCCATTTTCAATTCCGATAATTTCAGGTTACAGCGCCATTCTGGAAAGGTAAGCATACTTAAAACTCACATTTTAATTTCTACCTGAGTAACATGGACTCTGTCCTCTCAACCCTCTGCGATATGAATCTAATCATCAAAAAAAAACTTCAAAATTTTGGTTTGTATAAAGCATGGCTTGCTCTAGGAAATTAGGCATTAGCTAGGCATGAAAACCACGGTTCTAAAAATACTGCCATAAAATATTGTCTGGGAAATAGAACGTTACCCGGTAACTAGGATATTATTTCAACTTTTCTGTTTTCTGCAATTATTCATTACTAATGTAATAGGTCAGATTCTAATCAAATTGTAGAAACATTTACAAAGTGGCTGTTCAATAAAATGACTACCACAGTTAATTAGGAGCCATAAACATTGCTCTGAACTTCATCAAAGTAATGGCTGGCCAAGGAAATTACCGCTAATTAAATTGCCAACTCCCTGCATTTCTATCCTATATGATAAAAAGCAAACAAATGAGATTTAGAATTAACAGTAATAAATTCCAGTGAATGGCCAATCTGATTAATAGAAAGTTCAAAAGACTACATATCTTAACTAAAATGAAATATAGAGATGAGAGTACAACCTGATTTGGTAAAAACATACTTTAAACCCCAAAAAATCTATTTCTAGTTAAAACTTATTACACTAGTAAGGATATATATATATATGCATGTATAAGTACTTTGCCTCTTTGTCCACAAAATACATGAAACATCAGATACTGTTTGCTTTTCAAATTGAAACACTGCACGAAAGGTCCAGTCTCAATCCACTTCTTGTTGACTAAGTTCCACACTTGTGAACACAGGAAGTCAGTACGAAGGTTTTGTATTACAAGCAACAGGCCTGCTAGTGCAGAGCCTTTTATCAAATTGATCTGAACAGGAAGCAGCTGTAGAACAGCAACATTCCAGACTAGCTGGGGATTCTAGTGCATTTTCTGCCTCCATTTTATGAATGAAGGCACAAAACTGCTGGAGTTTCATTCATGTCAGGGTTGAACTGCAAGGCCTGGGCCTCAGAGGACCAATTACATTCTTAACAGGCTGACGTGGCAGGTCTAAAAAAATCTTTCCATTACAGGATTATGGAAATGACACATGTCCATTTGACCCTGTGCAATCTAAATCCAGATCATAGCTCTTAATTCTCAAACCAGATCAAAAGTTCATTTTCTAGAACATATCACAGCCTCACATTTTCAACTGCTATTTAAAAAGTTGAATACAAGGTTGTTTGGTGCCTAACAGAACAGTTTTCTTGCTTTGTAAAGTAATGCAAAGCTCATAAAGTTAATTAATACAAACCAGTACTGATCTGCAACCTTGTAACTGAAAGGGAGTCAGTCCTGCCCCTTCATTTTATTTAAAGTAAAACATAAAATATTAACCAAACACTCTTAGAATCATAAATATTAGTTGTAATACATGTGTATGCAGTACACATTTAAGGCAGTATATTTTTAAGGCAGTACATTGTTTACGACTCAGAACCTACAGTACTTATAGAAAAGTGCAGAAAAGAGGTGAATACTCAGAATGGTAGGATTATCATTGATGACTCTTAAGTTAAATTATATCAATATAACTTATATCAATGATGTAGATTCTGGTACAGTTGGTAAACTAGTCAAGTTCTCAAACGGTAAACGGGAGAATTAGCAGACGCCAAAAACATACTTTAAAATTTGAGAGTGACTGGCCTCACCGGGCAAGGTTAAATTCAGAGAAGTTGAAATGCCTTAACCATGGCAACAAAGGCTCGGCCCCTGACGCACCTGAGTCATAGGTGAAATCCCGCGGCTCTTGTTTGATGATCATGGCTGGTGGGTAGTTCTGAGCGACCGGGGTGCCCAGCATGGCGTTGTGCTCGTACACGGGGTCAGGGAACTCCTGCTTGAATCCCTGGGGGGGGAATGGAATACTCGGCTCGGACATTTGCCGGTGGTAGATGGGTCTTCCATCCCTGGTCATCGCAGACGGGGTGGGAAATGACCGGCAGGGCTCCGAGAGCTGACGTCTAAACCTGCGGGAAAAGAAAACGATTCGGAAATCGGGACACTCCAGCACTGAAACAAACGGGGCTCTGTTTTCCGAACCCTTGGGTGCTTAGGCCCTGTAGGAAGCAGTGCAGATCTAGATCCTCGAGTTTTTTTTAAACAGAACCAGCGCGGCTTAGTAAGTCACCATAATTTTACCTTGCTTAATCATAAAAGAACGAAATAGATTCTAGGGCTTTTAAACCAATTAACAAAAATGATCAATATTCCTAGAACCAAGATCATGTTTCCTAGCTGTACATTGGGAGCACTGTATTTCTTAAGGGATGCTATGTGCTTTTGGGCGTTTACTGAGTGTCACTGATGATATCAAACTACTTACTGTTTGTTTCAGTGAAAATTAGAAAATGGCAATTTCTCTTTCTTCTCCACCTGATTCTTATATAATGCAGAGTGAATGTCTGGTAAGATTCAAAAGTACTGAAACAATAAAATGAGCTGGATGCACACTGTTTCTACTCCTCTGCCTCCACCTCATCTTAATCTTATCACTGATCTTTGCCTGACAGCACTTCCAACAACTGAGTGTGCATTCTTGTCTCTCATTTTAAGCTACATAGAAAGTACTGTATATTTATTACAGCATGCAAGAAAAAAAACATGTCTGATTAGAAGACTTAAGTGATGAAATGGGTGCCGATCAAGATATCCAGATTTCAGTTTCAAGATGGTGATCTTGGACCCGAAAGACACTCAGGAGAAGCCCAGACAGCTCACAGTTTAGTCTTAGTTTAGTTTAGATTCAAAAAGCTGGATAGGCCGGGGGGCTTCTGCTAAACATCACTTTCTGGCTCAGCTTACCTGTGGTCCATTGGGAAGGAGGTGTCTGGCATTTGCTGGGAAGGTGGAAGGTGAGCAGGGTAGGTCCTGTCTGGTTTGGGAGTGGGAGCAGGATTAGGAGAGCCATGATGAAGAGGGGACACTGGTGTGCTACATGGAGTCGAAGGGCTTGAAGGCTTCATTCCCAGTTGTGGCTTCTGATCATAGGCACTAGGTTCCAGATGAAAAAGAAAAGACCTTCAGCACCCAGGCAGCTAGAGTTCAAAGCAAATACATCAGAAAACTACTAGGAAATGGTCTTCTATTCTTCACAGTTGGCGGGCTGGATTTCCATGAGAGCTGGAGTGTTTGTAAACTTGGAGTATGCTCCTTTATAAAAATATTAAAAGTTATTATGTACATAAACTGCCATTTAGCTCCTGGGAAACAGCTTATGCTGCATATATGATTAACAAACCATGCTTCTGCATTAATAATGCAGCAACTGACCCATATTCGTGCATGGTTCCATCAATATCACCATTCAATATCAAAAAAGTATGAACATAAAATATTCAGTAGATAACCCATTGCTTCTAATTTATACTACATGTCTAAGTTAAAATGCTAATTATGAAGTGCCCTTCAGCATAAAGCTTTATGCTACAGACCAGTGTATGAACAATTGACTCTGACTCTAGAAAATTTTAATTTTAATTTGAAGATGGAAAGCTTGAATGTTTCTTATTGTGGCTGTTAGGTTATTATTCTTCAGAGCACACCTGATCTAATCTTATTACTTTTGATTTAAAACAGACCTTCTTGCCTGCATTTGATGTCATATCTATGTAGAGATTCGTCCATCAACATTCATGGATTAACTCATTTGACCTTATTTAAAAAAAAGATTAATGTTTTTGAAGGAAAAATCCATGTTATTAGTTTAGTTCTGCAACTGGCAGTGTAAGGTTACTGCTTTTTAAAATCATTTTGAAGGAGCATTTTATCTTCATTACACAACAGAGAAAAATGCTGAACATTCAAGTTTTAACTTTTTTTGAATTCTAAACAGATTCGTGAAGATTCAATCCATCATTCTGTGCAAGCGATCATTAAAGGAGAATGGAAACAGAGAAAGAGCTTGTGAGAACTGGCCTAGGTAAGGAAAACTCAAACTGGCCGATAGTCTATGGAAGGATTAGTCTGGATATGGGTTAATAGCCCCAGTCATTCGGAGGAACTACCATGGAATTTTAATGAGTAGTGAGCTCCATGTTTTAAGCTGTATTCCAAATATCTGCACTTCTCACAGTCTCTGGATCAAGCCCAACATTTGGACTAAACTCTCATCCTAATGAAGCAACTGTCATTACAGCTGGTCAGTAAATGTGTAGTTTAACCCCAGTGCTTTTGAAGCCCAGAGTTTACCTGCACAAAATTAAGAATTTCCCCTCCCCCCTCCAGAACAGGTTTTATAAACTGATGTTACAAATATGGCTAGTGCATACATTTGACATATCGGTCAATGGGGTGTGCCCCATTTAGCTGTGTAAAAAGCCAAACGTGTTTAATGTGCATTACTCCAAAAAAAGAAATTCCAAAAAACTGACAAGAATGAGCACTTAAATAACTCACTTTCAAGTTGTTAATTTTGAAGCATGCGTCCATGGTTTATTTGCACAATCAGAGTGCCGGAGAAAGGCACTGCCAATTCAATCAATATCGGACCAAAGTGTATCTAGGCAACCAAGCACTTACCTAGGATTTTTTTTACATTTAAAACGGTAATTCATAGCATTTAAAAGGATATTAAAATGGAGCCAATTTGTGCATAAAAGGACACCCTTAGTAACCAGTTTGTTTTCTGTTTCTGTTTCTCTATGGGTTTTGAGCTCCTCATTCTGAACTTTGAGATCACTTCGATTGCCCTTTTTACTTGGGTTTCAAAAGCAAAGATGGAGACATTATACAGAATTTCAATTACAATTATTATGGTTAACAATATTCTTCTCTGTTGAATGGTGTTGAAAGGATGCATTTAGGGGCTAATTTCATTTTACTGTAGCTGATTAAAGGGATTTTTTTAAGAAGCCGAAAACAGGAGCAGGTGTTCATTTGTCAGTGTTTAGCAACTATATTAATTACAAAGTTACATTTTCCATAAAATGTACACCCCTTTATGTGGCACATCTAGTTAATGCTTACCTGACATTATACAGGCACTTTTCCCCATAGCTGAACTTGAAAGATGGCTCTTGAGTGCAAGTGGAGCTCAGTTCAGAGCAGGGGCTCTGGGGTTCCTTTTTGATTTTCAGCGGGAGGCCATGAAAAGCCACTACAAATGGGCAGGAGGAAGGGGAGGGAATATTAAGAGGTCAGCGCACTGAATAACTCATTATCACTGACTGTTTCAAAGCATAATCAACATTTGCATAGAGACACAAACTTCTTACCAGCTCCCGTATGACAGCTATTTTGAGGCATGAATCAGCTGTCATTTCTGTAGCAATGATTCAGAAAGACCTTACTTTAAATCCCATTTATAATACAGACGGATAATGAAAGCCTCATCACGAAATAAAACTCCTGTCTCAGGGCCTGCCAAACTCCAATAAGACCCTAACCTTTTTTTTTTTCTGCAGCTTGCCAATATGGGCACATCAAAAAGCATCACATTAATCTCAGCAATTTTCTTTACCTTCCCACAAGGACCAAGCACATTTAAAAGGCTGTTAAGTACTAAATTATTCCTGATCAAATCCCCATCATCTAGACTCATGATCAACACTAATTAAATTATCTATGCTGAACAAGGCTCCAGCCTGCTGCCTTCAATCTTCGGTATATTTCATTCTGCTAACAACTTCAGCTGCAGCTCAAAAATAAGAGAGACTTGCTGGGGTGCAGGGCTTTTTTTCAGATGACTAATCAGTGGATTATCCTGATGCATGTAAAAGCATATTGCATACAACAACATGCATGGAATAAACTTCACCGTGGTACAGCAACAACATCATATTGCCCTGGTCGCTCTGTTTGCACACCTCTATCATTCCAGCTGCACTTCAATCATTATGGAGGTCTCAGTCAGGTTACACCCTTACTGCACCTGCTGAAGTGACCCAGATTTCTTCTTTCTTTAACTGTTTTTCACAGGTACAAGCCCCCGTTTTCATTTTGCACACAGCTATTACTCTGAAGAGAAGCTTCATACAAATTTAAAGAGAATATTGGCTGCCTCCCCTTTATGCAGCCCATACTGAGAAAGAAAAACTAATGCATTTGGTGAAAATAAAAAACAGGTATTCCTTTTCCGTTTTGAACCTCTTCAGTTAGACAGTAATATTTTTGTTTAATTGTTACCGATACGTATAAATACGAATTTACTCATTTTTCATTTGTTTAATGACTACTCAGGTTGGAATAAATGTTATGAGTTTTGTGGACAAATATAATATTTTTTTTAAGGTCTGTTAAATTTCTAAAAACATTCTCTTGAGTTAAAGGTACTCTTACTTATCAAACACCTGGAGCCTGGTTAGAGGTTATGTTGCAATTATGCAGCTAAGTAACAGCATACATTAGGTCCCACAGCAACTTAGTAATAAATTATAAAGAGGTAATAGTAGCAAAATTAATTTCTGGCCTTCATGGAGAAAAAAAACAGTACAGACCATTGCATTTTTTTCCTCAGTTTTCAAACTACAAACACTTTGCAGGACTAGGAGATAGAGACAAGAACAAAACCCATCAAAGAAAAGCATTGTGGCTGACGGTTTTCACATTAAAATTTAAAGGTCAACCCTCCTTGTCAGCAGCATTCTGCCTGTTTAAAACATCTACAAAGAAATGATAATTGCAAAGATCAGATTGGAATACCAGGAACAGACTAGACCATATATTGCTAAATGAATCTATATTCTTCTGTGAATGACTTGTGGAGATATATATATATACAGTATATTCAAGAATACAGTATTAATATGGGTAAGATTTTTTTTTTTGTAGTGTAGCACAGACGGATCACAGCCTTGGAAACTCACAGGTGTGTTTTTATCATTAATCATGTTTCAGTTAGAGTGGGATTCACAAGAAAGCTGGAACTTCTGAATCATATCTGAAAGATACCAACTGCCCTTTAAAGACGAATGCACTGATCAGGCTGTGACTGGTGCTACTGCCCCTTTAAACTTGCCTTCCCCTAGTAACAACAAAGCCATGCTCTTCATACCTGTCAAGTCCTTAGGATCTATTTCCAGTGTATTTACCCCCCCAGTAACGTACTTCCTTAAACCCATTACTGTAGTATCTCTGCTATCCGATCACAGGCCTTTCATGGAGACATTAATTCATTCCAGTTCTTTACAGTGCCAGAAAATGGAAGTCAATTATGGAATCAGCAATAATGCTGCTCATTCAGGTCTTAACTATCCAGGCCTCAGAGCAAATAAGAGCAGGGATTTTGCACTGCCTCAAAAGCTGCAAACAGGTGTCAATGCTTTTAATTCTATTGCTTTTGTTTTCTCTGCAATCACCACAATGAGGTGGATCATTTTTCCCCAGAATACTTTTTCACGGATTATTTATAATCTGTTTGCTACATCGTTCTTCATGCACAGTGATACTTCAGCTCTCAGGTTTTTGTTTGTAAAGCAGAGAAGAAAGCTGTAATGTGAAACATCTATTAATCCCAACTGAATCCTCATCACCTAGCCAAGAGAAAGGAGCCAATGGAAGTGGATGGTGCTTTGGATGTAACTAGGAGTTTAAAACCCAACCTGACTAAAGAAACACAAAGCACGTGCCAAGAAGATATTTTCACACACCGAAGAGCTACGGTTAAATATTTGAGAGCTTTTATTTTTAAAGTTGTAGAGAGTCTTACATGTATATCTCACTCCCGTCCTGGTACTCGTTTTCATATTGATATTAGTGCGGATTTCAGAGGTAATACTTTCATTAGAAAGAATAGCAAAAAATAATTGAAGCAAATAATCATCTAATGAATACAATTTGATTCATGGGTGTTTTTTCAAAAACCTTTAAACTTACAAAAGCACAGAGTGCTGCACCCAACAGGTCTTGTTGCTCACAGTGTGGAGTCTGGTCTTCACAGAGTAAGGATATCAAACCAGATCTCAGGTTACAAACTGGGCTATACTCCAGTAAGGACAATACTGCAATAATATTATATGTGAATAAAGGGTACCATAAAACCCACCTTCAATTTCACAGAGCTTATCATTCATTTTCACAATATATTTGGTTGCCTAAATGGGAAAAAAATATTTACTGTTAACCTTTTAAAACCTTCAATAACCATTTGATAGCTTCTAGGCTCATTACCTGTCATTTGGGTCAGCTTTCGTACACAGCTGCACTTAAAAAATCAAATCTCTTCAATGAGGACTGCAGTGGCCAGTCACATCATTGCCAGCTGTTTGGCTTGCTAGCTACTGTATAATGGCCCTATTAGCCAACATCAAAGCTCCAGTCGTTAACACTAAACCAGAGTAGCATTTACAAATCAGGAGCCAGCTGGCTAGAGGCAAAGAATTTAAATAAATGCCAATAAAACCCACCCTGCTGCCAAGAAAACAGTAGTGTATTTACACAGCAAAACAGTGGTTTAAAAAGACTGCCAGTACATGTCTCCTGAAATTCGTATCACTCAAGTGCCTTTAATGCACAATTTCAACCTTAAAAGCATGCAGTTTCAACATTGTGTTTTGATGGACACCAGTGAGGTAAGGCATGATTTCCATGAATAGAATGACAGTCAGACTGTTTCATATTGCTTCATATATTTTTAATGACTTAAAAGGGTGAATCAAATATGGTATAAATGCTCTTTATAGATAATATAACATCTCAGAGGCAGAATCCATTTATCCAATGTACGAGAATTGAAGGCACTGACAGAGCCTCTATCTGTGGGTTCACACATGCTCTGGACCTCTCTTCCCTGTGCCAGTCTGTGCTGCGAAATCAATCTGACAACATGACATCTGACACCTCTTTCTTGAAAAGCGGGAACACTGGTAATTGTTTTAAAGAACGAGAACCATTCAGAGCTGAAACCCAAACAGCCCTCTGTGGGATGTGATCTTTACAGGTCATCAATAAAAGGTCAATGCTGAATTTCCTGAGGAGAGGCCTCTGACGGAGTCAAGTGCCACAGTCACGGCATCAACATGACCTCCTTATAAGACTAATTAGGACTTTTAGCACACCAAACGGGTCAAAAATACAATATTACACTAACAATCTTGGAATAAGAACCCAACCGTAAAAGCCCACACAATCTTGTACTAGCATGTAAAGATATTCCTGGATATTTACCGTGTATACAAAAAAGGCCCCCAAGATATTAAACTTAAAGTGGAACTTGTTTGTTAAGGTGTTCCTGTCATTAGCAGCTATATGGCGTTTTCAGCTCAGTTCATGTGACCCTGGGCCTAGATAGAGTAGATAGCTCAGGAGGAATCAGGTTTCCAAATGCCAAGATTAGCTTAGCTGTTACAATATGGCCAAAACAAGAGAAAAAAAAAGTTACAAAGAGAAGTATACTTTCAAAATTACATCTCCCCTTGTGCTTATTGCGATATCAAGAATATGTTTAACCGAGACAGGGAATGTTTTTATCGCAACTGTAATCAACTGGACAGCCTTATTTCAGAAAGGAGGCGTTCCAAATTGATTTCCTGCGCTCCTTTCTTGAAACATCAAGCCGTAGCTTCAGTACAAAATAAAATAGCAGCACAACATCGAACAGGGCCGTGCTGTATCTGAAAACACAAAGGAGAAATTGCAGCGAAAGAACACTAGATGAGATTTCGCTGAAGCCCGGTACAGGAAGGTGTACCAGTGAGGACTGAGAAAGAGGTAAACGGAGCTGAGAGGCAGATCAGCAGAGACAAGTAACTTTTAAAGCCTGAAACCCACAGCCAAATTCTGCACTTAAAAAGCAGTCAAACAGATCTGCCTGGAAGAGTTTCAGAGAGAATTTCGATTACATCAACACTTCCGACTGAAAACACACGATCCTTAAAACCACAGCCTGATAATTTTCCATTTAGTTACAATTTGTATGTAAAATAATTGAATTTTATTGCACACGAAACTTAACATTGTTTCACCTAAGATAAAAACAGACGCACTTAGAATGGATCAGGAAATGTCATTATAGATTTTGCTGTACTAGCCTAAGGTATACAAATCAATAGAGAACTTGGTGCTCTTCTGTGGAACAAACACTTTTCAATCCAGAATGTCAAGTGTAAAAACTGTATGTCAGTTCTCAAGACACATCTAGATTGCAGTGATTATGTTTAT